TTGGATTTGTGGTTTGAAAATGTTAAATGTAGAGAAACAGCTGAATAAAGCGACTGGTCGGAATCGGAGGATCGCTCTGGACTGAAGATCGGCGCTTGCGTCTCGTCAGGCCGCTCGGTTTCGTTTCCCTCTTCCTGCTGAAGCTGCTTCGCTCTCTGTGCTGCGCTTCCTCTCAGAGGACTGAACTCGACTCCGAGTTCATCGTTTCAGCCCCGCTCTGCACTTTCATTTTACCGGCAGGAAACATTTCACACACTTTTCTCTTCTCGCTTTCTCTCTTTCTCTTCTTTCACGCTTTTACTTTTGGTTTTTGGACTTATCATTTTTTTAATTGCTAGACTTTCCTTTACCAGTTGCAGTAGACCCGCAGCGTTCAGGGTTCAGGCCAGCTTCAGTGTAATAGTAGTGAGCAGGAGTGGATCACCTGTTTAATATGCTACAGCGTGCCAGCGTTTGCTGTGCATCTGCAAGCTGCTTTGAAACCCACCTCCACCTCAGCTCCTTTTCATCCAGTTTCCACTTCCTGCGTTCTGTATGAGTCCTGCTGTCCTGTCCTGTCCTCTCCTCTTGCAAACCTGTCCACAGTCATGGATGTACGTAAACTACCAGGCCCTGTCCTGACGGTGACTGCAAACTTCACAACTTCCTGTTGACTTTGTCTAAGGGAAGCGGCGCGTCTATGATCTATTTTAGCATCTGTGGACACGTGCTCAGTGCCTCTATTTGATCTTACAGTGTGCTGTGGTTTGAAGACCTCAGCCTGTCCAGCACAGACAGGAACCCCTTCACAGCCCCTGTAACTTTGTTTTACAATTACACTTAAAACCCTTCATGGTGCCTTTTCTGGCCCTGATCTTGAACACAAACCTTTGAGTGATGTAAAAGTGTGGTTACTTTACCTTAGAGTGATGGTGCAAATAAAAAAACTCCCCTTTGAAGATGCGTAGCTCTTGAGGAAGCCTCGGGTAGGTAGATCTCTGACAGCAGCTGTTTCTCTTTTCGCCCTCAGAGGCTCCGAACGCCTCCAACCTGAAGATCGTGAGGATGGATCGGACCGCCGGCTGCGTGACCGGAGGAGAGGAGGTCTACCTGCTCTGCGACAAAGTCCAGAAAGGTGAGCTTTTCCTGTTTTCTGTTTTCTGTTTGACACATATAAGGTCGGGTGCGGGACGCTCATATTAAACATGGACGCAGAAGAAGCACAAAGGGGGAGGAGCTAAAACACGGCATGCAGAGCTGCTGCAGTAAACAGCTGGAAATGAGCAGGGCTGTTTGGAAGGCTGGTTCTGGTTTTTAAAGCATCTCGGAGCAAACATGCATGCAGGTTATTTTAAGGGCTGCTAAAAAGTCTCTCAAGTAGTGATTTTTTTT